CCATATGGTAGCCACGCCAAAATTACCTCCCGTAGCGCGAAAATCAGCTCCGCCGTCTCTGCCACCGGCCACCGTTCGCCGTCACGCTGCCCTGGTGGGCGTCCTCCTCAATCGCACAATAGCTCTTGATCTCTTCCTCTTTTCTGTAAGTTTTCGGTTTCACTAGAAATTACTCCAATTCTCGCGTTTCGGAATTGGCATTTGGTTCCGAAACCCCTAAATTCAATACCATATATTGGAAGCTTATGGATGATACGATCCTTTTTTTGCTGCAGTTTTGAGTTACAGCCTATTTCGTTTCGATTTTGTCCTCTGTCTCATGCGGGGTTTTGTTAATCTTCAAAAAATTACTCTGTTTCAGATTTTAAGCATTCGGGTTTGTGTGGATTCCTTCCAGTTATATGTTGGAATTAGTTTTTTAAGTTGAAGCCCTTCAATTGCTATCGTTTAGTTGTTATGAAACGAGCACCGTTAATTTTTGCAACACAACATGGGTTTGATCCTTAAAATGATTGTTCTGTTAGCACAATAATGCTGCAGCTGGTTCAGTCGAGGAAGGCCAGGAACAAGTAAACCCGTTTGTTTTGTCAAGAGTGATTGCTGGTATTTAAAATCAGGGGCTTAACCTTGTTAATGAAGCCTGGTTTATACTTGAAGGTCTTGCATAGAAACCTATGGATGGAAACATTTTGAAAGTGCACACCCTAATAAACCATTGCTTCTTCGAGGCGTTAATAATGGATTATACATTCAATTTCTTAGGGGAACTTTCTACTCTTACGATAGTACCTACCCCTTCCGTTCACAATTTTTGATAATTTTGAAAAAACTCCTTCCATTCACAATTTGACAGATCATGATGTGTTATATTCTTTTATTTCATACATCTAACACCATTCTTAAAAACAATTTATGTGATAAATAATGAATGAAAGTAGTATATAAAATTTTTGGCATACTAGAAAATTTTCCCACTTTCTTAGAGTGTTTGGCCATGTGCATCTAAAGACTCAAGTATAAGTAACAAAATTAGTATGTCTTTAAGGACAAAATCAACATCAGTATGTGTCATTTGTCAGGACCCTATTCGATTAAGAGGTTGTAAAATGTATGTTGTCCTATACACTATTATACTGGTTGTGTCCTACTTTCTAATGTAATATATGCATATTTTCAGGATGTCTCCAGTTCGTATTCTTGTTATGTATAATGGGGATTGGATTTTTAGTGAGAATGGTTTTGAATTCAATGGTGACAAATTAAAAGGAATCATTGTTGATGAGAAGATTACTTATTCTGATCTTCTGGACAGAGTCTATGATATTGTCAAAGTTGACCCAACTGAATTTGTGGCCACTTTGAAATGCTTGTATAAAGCTCACGTCCCAACTCCACCAACAGAGATATTAGACAATGAAGATGTTGATTTTTTCATAGGTGAGAATCTTGTAGATGACCATAGCAGGAGAACACCGTTGTGCGTCACTATCAAACGTAGAGAATCACTAAATGAAGGGAAGGAGGTGCATTATCCAGCTCCATTCGACTCCGGAAGTGTAAGTAACCAAACTTCTGGTTTTGTGCCTACTGCACAAAATTCTCAATTTCCTCCCTTTATCGCTCTTACTGAAATTGAAGAACAAAACACAACTGCCATAAGTTGTGGTCCTCATGCAGACATGAATTGTGATGATGGGTTGCAAAATGTTCAACATGATGACTGTAATGATGATAGAGGACATGATAACGMTGCTGAAAACGGGCATATGCAGAATGATAATTATGGATGTAGTGATGAGATTCATCACCATACCTCCAATAATATGTCTTTCGATAGTCTTTCTGATCGAAATGGCAGAAAAAGCATACAAGAATATGCAACTTCTGAGCCGATGAACCTGAGCATTCAACCATGTTTATATTCTGAGCAGCTGAATATTAATGTCCCAAAAACTTTAACTATTGAGCAGTTGATGTCCAATGATATTATAGCAGTAGGCCAGTCTTATCCAAGCAAGAAGGACGTGCAGAGCAAATTAAGTCTTATGGCTATAAGGGAGAATTTTGAGTTCAAAGTAAGGCGTTCGACAAAAGATTTATTGTTCGTTATATGTGTTGACAAAAGTTGCAAGTGGCGAGTTCGGGCATCGAAGATGAATGATTCCGACTGCTTCTTGATAAGAAAATTCCATAATTCCCACACTTGTTTGACAGAAAAGTTTCATCGTAATCATCATCAAGCCAGTAGTTGGGTTGTTGGTCAGTTGATCAAGTCCAAGTTTGAGGAAGGTGCATCTGATTATAGACCAAATGACATCATTAAGGATGTGGAGAAACAGCTTGGAGTTACAATCTCTTATGATAAGGCCTGGAGGGCGAGGGAAATCGCTCTTCGATGCCTAAAGCGATCGAGGGATCGCGAGAAGCGATCCCGTGGTAGACCGAGGAAGGAAAAAACTGTAACTACTGACAAAGAGCCATCCCTGCGATTGTGCGGGACATGTGGTGCCCGGGGTCACAATAGAAAAACCTGTAGGAGTCTCATTGTTCAGCAGTGTCAGTGAAATGTTAGAGAACTGGGAGTACAAAGAATAGGTAGAGCTTGACTATTTTTTCTCTTTTTTTTTGGATATTTAATATATGAAATATGATATTATTTTGCTGATGATCATCATGAGTACTATTCTTTCTTTGGTTCAGTTTTAGTCTAGTGTAATAATGTGGTTTCTCGTTTGCTGCAAATTCATATAATTTCTGAACTGTCCCCGTTTGCCTTTCCTACCAGGTATAAAGTTCAAAATTCCAAATGATATATATAGAATAATATGATTTTGATCATGTAATGAAGTTAATCTCTTTATAGTAATGTAGATGGCATATTTGATTTATTTCTTAGGGATAAAACTTCTAATTTAACCAGCAAATTAAAGAATAAAAAAAAATCACCCTAGATTGATCTAGTAGTTAAATAAGAACCTATGTGAATAGTAAAGGGTTAAGGAGTGAGTTCAAATTATGATGGTCACCTATCTAGAATTTCATATCCTACGAGTGTCTTTGACAACCAAATATAATAAGGTCATCCAATTATCTTGTGATTAATTGAGGTACGTGAAAGTTAGCCCGGACACGGACATCAGGAAGGAAAAGAAAAGGTAAAGAATAAAACCTCAATTCTTGTCTCCATATTTATATATGTATATAAAAGGTTTGGGTAATTGTTGGCCTCGACCATGACTTAGTGATAAAAATCCCAATCTTCATATCACAAGACAACCTATRCATTCAACACCCTCTGAAGTTCATCGGTGATGTCAATGATTTCACTTTCGTTTTCCTTTTCTTCTCTCTTTAATTCAGAAAGCTGTATATTCAGTGCATCAATCTGCTTCTGTATTCTCTCTCCCCTGTCTGGTAATTTTGAGACAAGACCCTGTTCATTTGTTCAATGAAAAATAAGTTAAAAGCTCTTGGACATAAGTAGAACCAATCATAACATTTAGGTTGGGTAAAACTAACGGTCAACTCAACACAAGAACTAATTAGAAATCAAATTCTCACTCTGAGACCCGTTAAAATATTATTTGTCTCTCGCTCGAATGGGCAGTTGCATAGAAGAGCCGTACCTTATTTTCTAGAGTTTGAGACAGCCGATTGATTCTCTCTTTGATTTCCTTTGCTGTTGGCTTACTTGGACTGCTAGAACTCGTAGTAAATCTATTCAACTTCACATCCTTTGGGTTGAAAGCAAACCTTGCCCTGTAAGCAACGTAAAGAGTGTTAATACACACCATGTGGTGATGTATTTCTTTAACAAGTGAAAAGTGCAACATATGCATATGATCCATATGAACTCATACCCGTCTATATCATGATCTGGTGAAGAACTTGATGTCGCTTTTTCCCTAAATGCAACCTCTTTCATCCTCCTACCCCCACATTGGCATAGAGGTGGTTAGTTTCAAAAGGTAAAGAACGATGCAAGTCTCATAATAATCTCAACACCAAATATAGCAGTGATTAGAAATTTGCCAATATATTTTGATGTTATCCCTGGATAAATGTTTGGAAATATAAGAGGAAGGTATMATAATGAACGTATAAACAATTAAACATGAAGTTACCGAAATGATGCGTCTTCTTCCTCCAATACATGTACAGGTTCTGGAGCAGTTTTAGAGAAAAGCAAATTGTGGTGACTAACTCCTGCAATACCTTGAGTTTCTAGGAACTTTATATGGCTTCTCAAAGAATCATTCCTGTAGCCATAAACAACACGAGTGAAAACGAATTTAAATAATTGCAAAACGTCTGCCATGGTCTCCAGTTCAGCATCAAAACAGTAAGAGTAAGACAAACTAGGATACTTATTTTCAACCTAACTATTAATACACATGTTTTCTAACACAAATTCTGGACTAAATGATAATGTAAACATATTGAGCATCTAAATCATTTTCGCCAAACTGTATATAATAAACCATACTTGTATAATCCACTTATGATGGGCTGGCTATTCAGCTAGTAGTCTAGTTGATTTAAAGTTTTCATCTAAAATTCAGATCTCTATAACCACTCAAGATGCGGAAGGCTAAATATTGGGGTGCTTTCAACCTTAGCCTAATGGAACATAATATTAGCAACATGGTACTGTGCATCATAGAATGAAGCTTTAAATGTGCTCTTGGATGTGGATGCCTTATCAAAAAATTCAATAGAATCTATCATTCGAATCATACATCATATGTTGTCGGTCATGTTCCTCGTTCAATTGTTGCTGTGTGACAGATATGTCAAACCCCTCCTTTGGAAGGCTAAAAAGCTCCCGTAGATCCTGAAAATTTTAAAATATTATACATTCGATACAACGGGTTAAACAAACAGATTATTTCCAACTATTACCTGTTGACTAAAGTACCGCATCTGTTCTTTGTGCTCCGTTGCGGTTCTAAATAATCCCCCTTTGTAAATCTACATCATAAGTTTTAAAAGTCAAATAAGTGAATTGTTCCCTTCAGATTAGAAATAGTAGATATTTTAAACGCGCAACAATTATTTACACACACAGGCATCTTAATGGAACGAGCTCCTAGCAGGTGCCAAAAGCAAAATTTTTGACAAGGTGCACGCACGGGAGAACTATGGGGTACGTATACATATGGGGGAAAAAGTTAACCAAAATAGAAGTACACTATCTTGTCATTAACTTACCATTATTTAAGTAGAAAATTTGGAATGTTTTCCATACCCATGTCGTCTAGTAAACCATTTTACTTTCCCCATTAACAGGTTGCTTTGTGCCATATACGACATTAACATCTGTATTTAATAAGAGATATATCTATCATTACCTGTTTTCTGTAGATCTTTTCTTCAACAGTCCCACACGTCATTAATCTATACACTATAACATCTTTTGTTTGCCCAATCCGGTATGCACGATCCACGCTTTGATTATCAGTGCTACAAAGAGAACGTTACTTAATTATTCACAATCTACAACTAAAACCATTTAACCAAATAAAGTTACGTCCCCCTCCACCACCCCATCCACATGAATTAAAAAAATGTATGTTACTGTTTAACCAATCACAGCTTATTCTGTATTGGGTAGCCCATAAGAATTAAAATTAAATGAAGCAAGAATAGAGAAGGGTAAAAAGATGAAACAAAATGGAGAAAAGTTCTTTTTACTCCCTATTTGGAAGACAATATTTAGAGATATTTTTCTACAAATTTAAGCTGCAATATTGATGCAAGCATGAAAAACAAATAAACATAATGTTTCAATTTTTCAAGAACCTTGGATTCCAGGCCGGATCTACCACAATTACACGATCTGCTCTGGTAAGTGTAAGACCTAAACCACCAACTTGAGATGTCAAGAGAAATATAGAAGCTCCTCTACCTTCTTGAAAATCCTAAGAAGGGGAAAAAGAAGTTCATATAAAAAATAAAGTTATATGAATATATCTTAGTGTCTTTTGGTAGTTTACTCACATTTACGATCTTTAGTCTGTCTGCAGCTTTTGTAGTACCATCAATGCGCAAGAACTCGTAATCATTGGATAGTAGAGATTCCTATGGGAAAAAACTTACCTACATTAATCACTTTTTTTACATTATATTCTAAAAATCTTGAACTAAAAATGGTGATACTCGTTGCAGGTGCCAGTTAGTTTACATGTTCTAGACTTCTAGTGCATTTCTATTTGAGATTCACACCACAAATATTCCCATGAAGAACTATTTAAGATTTACGGAACGAACACTTCCATCTGCAGAACTTCGACCAATTAAGTTTCATTCCCAATAAGTACTATCATGATGTAAAGATAACACATATACTGTTATATACTTTATTATATGATCAAATCTAGTACATGCATTCTTTATTTTACAAGTTCACATACTGCGATACAATCAATTGTAAGCCACTGTTTGTACTGAAGTTGTTTCATAGCATATTTATCATCGATCATCTTGGCATTTTCACAATGAGCCAATAACCACATTTTGTAATTAGTCTATATCAATACGACAGAATAAGTTGAGCTGAACTGAACCTCAATATGATTGAGCATCTTTCGAGTTTGAGAGAAGATAAGAACATTGTGCCCCTCCGGGATCAAATTTTTCTGCCAATAACAGGAAGGATGTTATATAAATAAATTAAGCTTATTTTCTCCCACAATTGATTCAATCAAACATCACTAACCAATAAAGCCATTATGAAAGATATTTTGCAAGAGACGTTGTCATGATACGCTTCATAATCATCCCTATCAGCCACATCCGCTAAATGCATTGCCAGCTTTTCTGCTACACCAGCATCTTCTGGGCTGAGCACAGCTTCCATCCCTTCCAGCACATCTTCAGCAGCTCTCTTGGTCAAAAGAAGTGGGTGATCGCATATTTTCTTAAGAATCTGCACCATACCAAATGATTAATTAGCATATAGATATAACTAGTGGCACTCCCCCATTTATGGGCACAAGTGTATGATGATGCCATTTACAAATTACAAGGAAGAAAAGATATTGTTTGAACATAGTTGAGGCGGGGGATCATCATATCAGAATAATACCTAAGACATTCAACAACAATCATAGGGAACTTTAAACCCAACTTGCATTCTGAATGGGAGTGCATAAATTTTCAAAAGAATGGACGTGAGGGCATTGTATTTAATGCAAAAATTTATAATAATTAAGCCAGGCTTAATAAACCGTTCCAAGGCAATCCGCRCACAGCAAACAGCTCTGTCAACAGACAAGCAGTAAATGATATGTACACTACATACTGATAGAATCTGTTTTAGAGGGTTATTTGATCATTCCAACAGGCAAACACTGTTCTTCAGAATAGAAGCATTGAGTCGCAACTACAAGAAAATTTCAATTTAAAAAATTAAATTGAAAAAATATTGTTCTATAATAGTGACTTCTGAACAATTTATTCACTAATTGTTTTCTTCTTTTTTTTTTTGATAATCAAGAGTTGGAGCTTTGCTCTCCTATACCCAAGACACTCGCGCCTACCTCAAGCGCGGAGCTGGAAGACATTAAAAGTTTTTGGTATTAAGCTCATCCAAAGGTTCGAACCTGAGCCCTCTAAATTGGTGTGACCTAAAGAATATGAATTACAAATCAAAATAGAACACAAGAATTAATGCTTCATCTAAAAACAATGCTAGTCGACTATCAAGTTTGCAGCATGGATTAAACAAATAAACCAAACTCAATACCTTCCTGCATTATCTTAACCGGATTATTTGCCTTACAAAGTCAGCTATACGTATCATCAGTTTACTGAATGAAGCGACTAAACTGAAAACAATGGTCAATGGATAGGTTACTAGGATAGAATAGACTATTCGATTACAACATCTCGTTTCTATTACTAACTGAAAAGGCAATAAAAGTCTGATGGAACAACTCGAACAAATTAAAACTTGATGTCAGAATCCTAACTAAATCTAATTGGCAATTTTAGCTAGAACATAATAATAAATTCTACCGTAAGGGCAGCCAATGGTGAGCCATCAAATGCTGAAAGTACCAATTCACTTCCCAAGAAAGCTTCATAAAGTCGTCGCTGTATCAATTAAATTTAAAAGCATCATTTTTTTACTATTGAATGACGTGATCAGGGTAATGATTGATAAATATTTTATCAAACCTGACAACTAGTCAGCCTGAGCCAAACAATAATGTCATTCTTTTTAGAGAGCTTGGTAGCAGCTTGGTCATTATCTTCATTAAAAACCTCACTCTTCAGACGACGCAAAAAGTAGGGCTGGATACGTTCCCTTAACTCCTGTAAAAAGGTACTGTATAACTATTTTTGATAGTTGATGCTATGTTGAAACAGCAGGCAACAAGAAACTAGTAACTTTGGGAAAAAAATATAAAATTGTGCTCTGACCATGGTAAGAGGATGCAAAGCTATCAATATACTTACAATGCAACAGACAGCAGGGAGACTGTTCATTCATAAACCACGTAATTTGAATTTGGAAAGTTTCATTTTACAGTAATGCCATAGAAGTGGATAGAAGTTTCATTTTACACTCACAAACCTTACAGGAAAGGGGAAGATAAGGTATTCTCCCAAAACCAAGTAATTAGTCAAAAAAAAAAAAAGAAAGAAAGAAAGAAAAAGGATTTCTAGTTAGCATGAATCATAAAAACGGTATATGTAATTACAAAAAAGTTTAAATCAAAATTGCCCATCTAGAAGAACCTTCTGAACCTGTACCTAGAATTTTCATTCCAAAATTGCCAAAAGGTAGCAGCACCAATAATTATAATCAGCAGTGATTACTAATCAATCCAAATCCTCCTGCATCGTTCCCCCACGTCCAGAATGCAGCAACAAGAAGAATCTTACTAAAAAAAGCGAGCTTATAATTTCCTTTTTTCACAAAACTATGCTGGTTTCTCCCATCCCAAGTTCAATAAGAGGAATAATCGAATGGTTTTTTCTCTTTTTTTAATTATTATTATAAATAATTCTTAGTTTCCAAAATCGTGCTAAACTGGCAGGTGACAGCAAGAAGGTCCATAAACAAGCAAAATAGACCTTACCTTTGCAGCCATTGAACCAATCCGCTTATCTCTTTCAGAAGCCTTTTTGTCAGTTCCACGAAGAATTGCACATTCATAGTTTTCTTTAAACCTGAAAAAGTTCCAAATTTCATACCAACAATACATGAACCAAAAACTTAGAACAAGTAACATGAATAAGATGAAAAAATATCTAACGATACAGAACTCTGAATATTAATATGGATGAGTACCACTTCTTGTCACCCAGCAGGTCAGGACAGCAAAAATTGAACAGGGCCCACAGTTCCTATTAGAGAGAGCGAGAAAGAGAGAGAGAGTGGAGATAGTGAACACTACATGGGAACAAGCTAAAGATACACCTCCAATGGATGGGATTTATGAATGGAAGAGGATAAAAGACAAAAGGCAAATGGCAGTATAGTGAATCTTGTGTAAGTGATACCTTCAGATTATTTTGCAATGGTGTACCACTTATAATTATGCGATGAGCACTAGGTATCTCAAGCAAACTTTTGGCTCTTTGAGTGCTAGGATTCTTTATAAGATGTCCCTGGATTATGAATAGGTTGATCATCAATCAAAACCAATATATATCACGAATGGAAAGTCTGCATTGATTCATAGGAAAAAAGTTATTCATGAATGTGGTAAAAAACAATTCATGAAATAAATAATAAAATAAAAGAACATTTACTACACTCAGGTAATGTGCACGTCTACTCAGATGAGGGCTTGATCTCCAAGCTATTTCAAATAAATTAAAATTAGGAAAAAAAAACATAGAATCACTAGGCCGTTCTTTAAGACTTGGAATCAAGTTTCAATTTGGACTTCTAATTGCAGAATCTTAGTTTTGTATAGAGGATTTAACGTAATCAACCATTGATTAAGAAATGAGAATAGTTCATTATAGTAAGGAACAAACAGTACAAATAGAATAGGTTAATCAAATGAACAATTTCATAATTAGTAAACTACAAGCATACTCATAAGGACCTCATCAAGTATCATATAATCCCATGTTTTTCCATCCTCAGTATCCTCATCTTCAGTGAAGCGGTTGCCTTGCAAAGCCTTTGAATTATTCCTTACAATATCATAAGTTGTGAGAAGAACACCTTTATCCTGTTGCGGAGACAAGAAAGACAAACAAAACAGAATTTAGCATTACACACGGGTTTTTTTTTTAATAACTGGGAGTCAGAGCTTTGTTCTCCTGTACCCAAGGGCACTCATGCCTGTTTCAAAGCCCAAACCCGGAAGACATCAAAGGTTTTTGGTATTAAGCTCACTAGAATGTTTGAACTTGAGACCTCTAAATCGGTATGACCAAGAGATTCCAAGCCCTTACCAACTGGGCTGCCCTTGGGGCAACATTACACATGGCAATTAAAATTCCAATTAAAGTTAACTTGTACTTTTCCTTAATCCCAACATCCTTTTTCAAAAAAAAAAGAACAAAAAAATCCCAACGTCGAAGTGACAAAATTTAAACAAAAGACATTTCTGCCAAGAATAATAAATGCTAAAATTTAGAATTGTTGTGTTTCTATGGATATATCCTACCTGGAGAATATACTGAAGCTCATACTGCCGAAGTTTAGCTGATGTGCCATAATATCTGTACAGGATTTAGAAAGCTCAGCATCTGTGTTCAGTTCTATGACAAAAGTAAAAAATATTTAAAACGATCCAGGCAGTAAATATTTACTCTCTCGTTTTCTCAGAAAGACCCACAACGGATAACTCTTTAATCCAATGGGGCAGAAGAGTTTTAGGTGCCACAACCAAGACCCTCTTTATTAAACGCGAATAGAAAAGTCCAGCTAGAAAGCCACAAATCTGCGGAGAAAGGGATGAAATAATAATATTTAGACACATCCAAGCAAATAAATAAATTGTAAGGGAACTGTTATTCCTGTTATTACCTGCATTGTTTTCCCTAAACCCATGTCATCACCTAAGATTCCACCCTTACCCTTACAATGTAGAGACCACAGCCACCGTAACCCATCACGCTGATGTGGATACAACATATTTGCAATTCTACCTTGCAATTTGAAAGCAGAATTATGACCAATAGAGCTTATCCCCTCCAAGATAAAATAATTAGCAGATTTATCAAACATGTTGATCCCATCAGAATCTTCATTCTTCTCTTCGGATTTGCCATGTTGCCTTCTTGCTTCATTAAAAACCATTGTTTCACGATTCAGAACTACACAATCATCCTCATCATCTACCTCCCTTTCTTCATCTTTCAACACAAAAGTTTTTCCTAGGGAATTATATGTTCTTTCTACATCCTGACGTTTGTATTTGTCTTGTCCTTCGTGAGGTTTATATTTTATATGTAGAAGTTGTTCACTCTCTGTACTGCACGTATCAACTTCATGAATTCCATCGTCAAACAGATCAATCTTTGCCTTATTTGGTAGAATTTCTTCTCCGTCCTCACCATCCACATCGTCAATGAGAGTCTTCACAACATTCTCAACTTTCACATTTTCATCTAACAAGGAATTAGATGGATTGGAGAAAAACTTCGGACAATCAAACTCACGATCATCGGTTTTATTGGCTTCCTCKATTCCTCGTTCATCACAAGAAGCCGAGAAGTTTTCAAGAGAATCAGTTTTTCTCGAATTTTCTCGCTTTTTCTGAAAAGACAAAAGCTCAAGCCTCGTGCTTAAGTCATTTAGAATATCCCTGATTTCACTTCCCTTATTATCCTTGTCATCAACGGGCGGAGGCGGTGGCGGAGAAGGAGAATCAAAATCAGTAATACCAGAAAATTTAGGTTCAATGAAATCGAACTCCACTGGATTATCTAAGTCACCATCTTCTCGAGACGAGAGTTTGCACAGACGGCGTCGGCCACTGATCTTAACCTTCCTCTGCTTGTTTTGAGCTGAAAATTATTGGGGAAAATGAATGCAGAAATAACGTCATGCACAAGTTAAAATATTACCGATACATGTTATGGGTGTGAAACCGCAGGAATCAAATGAAATCCGTACCACTAACAGCTGAAGGCTCCGGAACTCTATTATCATCAAAGTCGTCAACAGTAGACGATACTTTACTGAGGCGGCGTTGATCCTCAAGTTCGATTCTTGAGGGCTTTTTTTCCTCTTCTTCTTCTCTCTCATCTGCACAAATAAATTCACCACCGATGACTACAGAGCTCCCAGAAGTGAAGAATCACACATAAAGGCAAAAAAAATGAAAAAAAAATGAAAAGAAATGGGGACTGGCGAAAGGAAGGGAGTGAGTATACTACCATTACCGGCGGTGGCCATAGAAGGCTTAGGAGGAGCAGAAAGATCCTGAAGGAGGCGGTAATGACGATCGTTGAGGCTGAGAGGTTTCTTCCTACTGGTCGTGGAATCCGCCATTCCTGAGTCGGAAATGGATTCGCCCTTTTTTCCGCCGGAGAGATCCTTGACGCCGGCGAAGGCGAAGCAACAGCGGACTTTGAAGATAGAGTATGATTTCTTTGTCTAGACTCTAGTGCGATCGTTGTGTTCTACGAACGATGGGTTTCCAATCGCCTTTCCCGCTTTGCTACAAGAAATTTGAATTTTTGATGGGTTTCGAGTTTCTTCTCTCTCTATATATATACACACTATTGCGAGGTGGGGTGGACTTTCCAATTTTCAACTTACTAATGTCTTAGGTTAGAGTTCATGTTGTCAAGTTTGATAGAAGATTTTTTTTTTTCTTTTTTGTCTGATCGCAAATTTTAGRTAATAGATACCTTATTGGCTAAATTGTACTTAAATTGAATTAATCTACTTATATTTAGAAGTATATTTGAGTCGACTTTTATATAAAATTAAAAATTCGAAGTAAAATACATGTCTCAACCACTTAAATATATTCATATAAATTTATATAAAAAGTTATTTTACTCTTGAATTTTAAAATTCGACAATGTCTTTTTTCAAATTACAATTTAAWYAATAGAATTAAGTTAACATCTTAATCAATAGAATTAAGTTAACATCTTAATCAATAGAATTATATTAAGATTGTCATATAAAATACGTAGACTTTCATTTAAAAGGGTCCATGATACTCACTTTGTAATTTAAGAATAGTTCAAGGGCAAAAAGATAAAAAAATGTCTTCATTAGTCAAATTCTCACGATCAAGTTCTCACCTCTACAAGTGCAATATGTATGCTATTTGGCAAGCAAYGTGCAGCCATGATAGCAAGTTTATGATAGTTTTAAAATCCGTTAACGTGTCTGCAAATGGAACRACTCTATTGAATGCTAAATTCAAAACTTAAATCGAGCAATTCTGCGTCATTGAAACACATTTTTTAATTCTTTCCACTTCTTATAGTAACAGCTTACAAGAGTCTTCACTACAATATGATGTAGGAAACATAATTCAAGATTAATTCATCACAAGCATTGGAAAATGCCTTTCGTACGAATAATTATCCAAGGAGACAACTTCTACTGTAGCCAAAAATGTCCTTCGATACTGCGGCACTGATCGAGGACAGTGGTCGAACTATGAGTGTGTAACAATTTCCCTGAGAATCCCAGCTGCCAAACAAGAACGCTGCAATCCATTTGGCTTGTCACCCCAGAATGATTCAAAACCTCCAAACGATAGCTTCTTCCTACTCATTTGAAGAATGATCTTGAGAAAGCCATGTACTGCAGAATGCAGTACTTCTGACTCAGACATCGAATTCTCTAAACCACCAAAGACATGTCAAGAACTGGTCGTCTCGGCCAAGTGAACTGCAGAAGGGCGTTCTCCTGTATTGGTAGGTTCTCTAACGATGGAACTGAGCATCTGATGGCGCCTCATCTCCTGGGCTTTCCTTCGATTGGATTCTAGGATGATAAGGAGAGCAGTGATATCAGCAGGATTTACCCCGCCAACTCTACTTGCTTGACCAATAGTTTGTGGCCTCACCTGAAAGTATAACAGGGATGGTTAAGTGAAAGTTGCAAAAATATCAACTTGGCCTGCCTTGAAAAACTGCCCTCGCTCCAAATTACTTCCAGGCTGCTGCTTCTTCTTACATGTTTATTTCAGTTTTATCTTGAATTTGTGTACCTCATGCTAGTAAAGAGGTTACCTAAAACAGAAACATCCAATAATGACATTCACCCCAAAGACATTGATATAAAAGACGAACCTTAGATAATTTCTCGCGAGCTTCAAGAGACAGTGTTGTCATTGCATAGTAATCCAAGTCTTCAGGAAGTACCCTATGTTGTTGATGAACCATCTACAAGCAAAACAATGAGGTGGGAAAAGTTCAAAGAACAGAAGGTATAATTAATGGAAAAAAAAACCTACTAATACAGTGGAAAGAAGGGAGGAAAATGTTTGAACCTGCTGGAGTTGCGTTTGCTGCCGCAGAATGAACCCCTCATATTTGATGTCAATCTCTACACAATCCTTTTCTGATTTGGTTAAGAGTTTATTCCCGAAACCATGCTCATCAAAAACATTATATCCTATGTGTGGTTTCTTAAGAAGACTCTCCAATGTCGAAAAGTCCTTCACAGGCTGACCAGACAAGCGAGAAACATCAGCAGCCAGCTCTCCTCCTAGAATGAAAATATGAAACATCTATGATCTACCAAACCTCAGAAATTCRCATTTTGAATATTTTGTTATGAGAAACAAAGCTAGACGAAGATAAAGAAAAAAGTGAAAATCATAAGCACACTCTAGACACCCAAATGCTGCATTTTCTAGTTTAGAATTTAATTCTTTCGAGCACTAATATTAGATAAATTCTTGATCTTAATACACCACTTCATCAAACAATGGGAATTTTTTTTCTGTATTTTCACTGTATGGTAATATGCTAAAGGAAAGGAAACTATTGACAAACCTGATATCCTGACAGTTCTCAATCTTTTCTTTTCTTCCGAAATTCTACCCTGCTTCTCTTGGTATAGCTTCCACCGCCTATCATCTATTAACCCAATTTCACGGCCAAGAGGTGTGAGACGGCTATCTGCATTGTCTGATCGGAGAAGTAATCGATGTTCTGAGCGGCTACAAACAGGTAAAAGTTTTCTTTTATGATAACTAAGAGACATGAAAAATATTTGATGATACTGTAAGTATAACAGTCTCATTTTCTGTTTGTGGTTTTAGATTTACAAGGAATATACAAGATCGCATGATTATAGCGAGAGAAGCAGAGGGCAGAACATGATTGATAATGATAAAAAATCAGGCCGTCAATTATTCCTTGACTGATATTAAAATATTCCTGCTTTCCATTCCTATTCAGTGGAATGATAAGAAAGAACAGGAAAAAAAATTAGAACTTAAAATAATTGACGTATGTAGTAATATCTAAAACGAGAGTGATGAGATATACTAAAACTTGAAATGCCTAAAAGACATAACAATATAATTACGAACTAATTCACTTCTTATCCTGAATAAGAAGACCTGCGTGTAAGACAGCTACAAATAAGAACTAATTTAGTATATTTCTGAAGAGGCCCAGATAGTTCATTCTGGATGTGGAAAAAATAGTTGATTGATAACAGCACTTCTATGAATCCTTGAAGATGATTATGATCCCAACAGATGCCTAGATGATATATTCGGCATCAAATTGGGTTTATAGTTAATTCATTTTTGGTATTAAGAAATTAATAGTCATGTCTCTAGTCTATTACCAATAAGCGAGGAGAATAAGRAAAGAAATTCAAATAGGCAGAACAATATATTGAACAAATACCTCGTCAGCATACGATAAGGCTCGCGAAGGTCCTTGGTGACGAGGTCATCAATTAAGGTCCCAATATAACTACTTTCCCTCTCGAGAACAATAAGGGACTTGCCATCTGAAAATCTGGCAGCATTGATGCCAGATATAATTCCCTACATCATACAATGAACCAACCAGGTTTAAATGTTAATATATTGAATTACATCACAGCAATCATAATGGCCCAACAACATAGCTATTCTACAACAGGTAGAAATGACAATATTATGTTCTTTCAAATACGGTAATAAACAACTTCAGATGAATAAGATTTTGCAACAAATCAAATAGGGGACGGTAAGATGCATACTTGTGCAGCTGCTTCTTCATACCCAGTGGTTCCATTTATTTGACCAGAGAAGAAAAGTCCATCAATTTTTTTTGTCATTAGAGATCTGCTACACTGATGAGCAGGCAAGAAATCATACTCTACAGCATATGCAGGTCTGAGCATCGAACAGTTCTCAAGGCCTGGTAAAGTTCTCAGAAGTGGCAACTGTAATCGTTCTGGCAAACCAGTAGAGAATCCCTGCACAGAGTGCTAGATCAAGGAACAGAACGAAGCAATATAGGACAATACTTAAAGAAATGCAACTTATCGTTTGGATATTGGTCTTTTAGTTTTCCAATTCTGAAACAAATTCTTCAGACATTGTCACAAAATAATTGAATGAGGAAGAAGAAAAGAAACTTTGGAGTTTTAAGGCCAATGAAGGCCAGATGATGTGCTCAATCATTCATGCCATCACTATGGAGATGACAATTAGATAACACTCACAATAGAGTCCAAAGAAGGAACATCTTTATGGCCTTATCTCCAAATTGGTGGATTATGTGTAAAAGGAATTCAGAAACACAAAGCCATCTCTTTTACATTTGCAGCTTTCCCTTTAAGTTCTGGCATTCTGAGTGATGAGGCTCTCTAGTCTCTTCTTTCCGTTGGCAAAYCCCTCTCCCCATTAATACAAGTGCTCTCCAATCTACAATCTTGATGGGCCATCCATTTAACAAAGAAAAGGAGAATTATGGTTGTAGATTTTTTTTTTCACAAGATACCACCGTCTCATTGAAATACCGAAAAGGAAATTAGAGTTCAAGAGATATAAACTCCCAAAGGGAGTGAACAAATTTATGGTTGTAGATTAATAGAGCTTTTTTTTACATTATGGATTGAAGAAACCATAACACTTTCAATGACATTTTCCTCTCTTTTGACATATACATAGATACRATTCTTTTACATGCTCTAGACGGGTGTAAAGTTTACTCTCCTTACAAATTATAGATTGGTTAGTAGGTTGRTCTTTTGGCTAATCGGAAGGTTTTTATGTTACTTTGATTAGCTTGGGCTTCTTCCTTCCCCTTTATATTTTATCACATCAATGAAATATCCATTTCAGAAAAGAAAGAAAGAAATATTAAGAAGAGAAAAAAAAGCAATCCTTTTAAGTTTTGCATCTTACCTTTATTGATTTCTTCCTCCAGAAAAATAATTTCTTTGCATCCAGGTATTATCAAATAATAATAATAAATAAATAAAAAGTTGATGTTTACAGCACCTGCACGTAGAGCTCAGGCACATTTCGGCCCTCTGGTTCAAGAAAAATCTGATGAGACTCTTTATCTTGAAACCTCACAATCTATAAGATGAAAGATAAACAAATTAGATCAATAAAATAAACAAATTTATTTAAGGGGAATTAGATCGAATGATGAGATAAGATAACTACAAAAATATTAAAAGACAATTGCAAGGTACTGCCGTAGTCCAAAAACTAATTTTATCTCAACAATCTATCTAGTTTGTTTCCATATTGGATCTAGAAGTTTCAACTTCAAGAATGGTTCCATAGAATAGGGGTCTCATACAAACTAAACCTTTCGTGTAAATCTGATAATGTAATCTTTAAAATACCCTTTAAAGTTGTGTCACATCAAGTAATTGAAGTAATTTCCTCTAACTTTAACCTACTCTAACCTTTTTTATTATCTGTATAGAGGTATTTTCTCAATTACATGATGAAAAATTAAACAAACAAGAAAGAAAGCATGTAAGGGTTTCCTCATACTCAAACGGATTTGCTCGCAAGAGTAACACTTTTTTCAAATAATTGTAAGGAGAGAAARAATAACCATTACATTCTACATTCTTCTAAGAAATGTTTCTTCAAACCACTCTAATTGCACTTAACTGAAAATTAGACATCAACCATGAAGTTCAAGCCTTGAAAGGCTTGAATCTGTACCTTATCTTCAATAGAAGGGCAATATCTAGGCCCTTTTGCTTCCACCCAGCCTCCGTAAGTGGGAGTTTCGTGCAGGTTCTCCTTGATAAGTTCATGTGTACTTTTTGTAGTGCGAGTCAAATAGCAGCACATTTGCTCTCTCTCTATGTGAAAATCAGGATCAAAACTAAACCAATTGACCTGTTTATAACCAGGTCAATCTTAGAAGACAAATACTTATTACTTAGAGCTGCAAAATCTAGCAAAAAATAAAAATGAATGTAGATATTGTTATATTTAACAGGCTTAAATTATAGGAGCTAATCATATTTTAAACGTAAATTTCCAATGAGTTCTCTAACAGGGCACCCAACGAATGACAAGGTTGCTCTACCTAGTACCAATTCAACAATAGAGCAATAAAGACATGTCAAGATGATGATGATGATGCTCAGATACACAATGCAGGATAACAGGTGACAACTCGATCCACATAAAGAAAAATGAGAAGCATGCCATGAATATGAGAGTGATACTTCAAATCTACTGAACCTACGTATGAGATCAAATGCAAGGACCTCTTCATCACCATGTTGGGGTTCCAGTGCAGAGAAATCAACAGTTCGGCAGTCCACACGAGCTGGGGTTCCTGTTTTCAACCGATCAATTTCAAATCCAAGACGCTGTAAGTTTTCAGTGAGTCCATGTGAAGCTGATTCACCAGCTCTTCCTGCAGGCATGGAAGTTCTACCAACCCAAATTTTACCACTCATAAATGTTCCTGTAGTGAGAATAACTGCAGGGGCGTAGAAGTTCATTCCAAAAAAGGTGCAAACACCTTCCACATTGTCATTCTTTCCTACTAAAATATCTGTCACCATGGCCTCTCTAATAGAAAGATTAGGAGTGCTGCAAGGGAAAAATATTACATTAGTTAATAAGTGGCCTTTGCAGTTAGCTTGGGTTTCTTCCTCCCCCTAGGTATTGCATTTCAATCTATATGCATTCGAGAGGTAGTAAAGTTCATTTCAAGGAGAATACTTTGTTGCTYTATCTTTGAAAGACCAGTTCCCAGTTCTCTCTGATCTTAATTTAAACATAAACACTAGTAAAGAAGTCCAAATCAGTGAAGGTCATGAGTGGAATTGAAAGAAGAAATTTTGATGATAGAGAAATAAAGGATCGTTACATTCCTTCTTGTTTTATCAGATAATTTGTTGCAAACCCTGAGGAAGATCATAGGATATGGAACTATGAAGAAGTCAAACATCTTCCCTTGTGATTCATGCTCCTTCAGCTTACCAAAGGGGGACATTACCTTCCAAATCGAGGAAACAATCATAACCAAAGRGTACTAAAATTGGGACAAAAAAGATCTACAATAGGACACACTTGAAGGATCACGGATCAATCCAGACAAGAGATAATACTCTCTTTACTAATGTGTAATCCTTCGAGCCAACTTCCACATAGTCATGATCAATCTGCTACCCAAAACATCACCACAATTAAGAGAAGAAAAGGGGGCAAGAGTCCCTTGCCTCATCCTCTTGATGCAGTTATGGTCCCATTCCCTAGTGGTTAGGACATTGGACTATGAAGCAGTTGTGCTTCCTCCAAGCCTTCAATTGACAAAAATTAGAAAATTTGGTTTGATATAGACATCTATTTCAGCAATCTTAAGACCTGACCATTTAAAAAGGAAATCCATCCCTGTATGTTAAAAGAAAGAAAATTTGTCACTCACGTGTAATAGAGACAAATTTATTATTTAAAAAAAATGCTCAAGTAAATGTGATCTTTCAAACACTACAACCATCCTACAATATTTGACAAACCTGTTAAATTCATATCATGTTATAAAGAAAGTCATTTGAGTAAATGATACACAAGTCGTGTTCAATAATATTGAATGGACTTGTTCAAATTTAAAATAGGGTGCTGATTGGCAAGCATCAAATTGCATTAGAAAGCCTAGTGTTCACAACAAGAATAAAGAGTGTATTCTATATAATCATGACTAATAGATTGCACGATAAAAGAGTTCGGATCAGAGAAATAGTGCTTGTCACGTTGAGATCTTGCTAAATATTCAGTAAAAGCAAAAAAAAATCCCTGACAGAGATTGTATATCGCAATCAACCAAAGAAAGCTGAAAGTTACAACAATCACTTCAAAAATTAGGTGGCTGCTAGAGATAATAGTATATTAAAGAGAAAAAACGAAAAACTCAAGAAACTTGCCTTTCCACAATACTCTTCATTAAAAGTGCATACTCCCTTTTATCAGTTTGAGCACGCAACGCCCGTACAGCAGGGCCTCTAGAAACATTAAGTACACGCTTTTGTAGATAGCATCTGAAGATGAAGAATGATGTGAGTACAATACCAATAGCATATACTGTGAATGAGATCATTACCAAGAGGAGAAGGGACAGAGAGCAAAAAAGAAACGCAACGACCCGTGAGATGTGAGGTATGAGGCATGGCTCTAGGGAGTGTGTAGAGAGCGATGAGATATAAATCAAAACTAAAAATATACTAGAATCAAAGGTGGGTAGGGAAKCAAACTACAAAATATGCTTTACAACCATTGAGCAGGAACTTCCAGCACATTTCAATTACTCCCATAGAGATTTTGAGTGGAAGATCATACAATCAAAGCCATCACTTTAAAGCTTTGAGTAGAGTAGGACCATGATTTAAGAAGGATGATCTCAATCCTATCCATGCAAGTATTGATCTCTTTTTAAAGAAAGGATATCTTTATCTTTAATGATTTTGTCCAAGTATTATCTATAGTTTGATTTAACTAAGCAAATAACTGCTTCCAAATAAAAGGTAAATAAATATGTATAGATGCCAATAACAACTTCTTATATTAGTATTCATTCTAAATATCATGAGAATGAACAATCATGCTCTCTCTGGAAATATAAGGAGAATAGTATGCAAGGAAATTAGGAGGTACATAATATTACCTGTCAGCGACCTTACCAATTTCACCCCCTAGTGCATCCACTTCATGCACAAGTTGAGATTTTGCTGGCCCACCTACTGCTGGATTGCAAGGCTGAAATCAAACTTTAAGATTAAGAATGTCTTCCTGCTATATGCCTTTTTGGTCTTTGAAATCTAAATATTTTTGTAATTATACCCTTACAATTTTGTTGGCCATTGAGATACTTTTTCGAACTCCACATTTTAATGCAATCTTGTTTCTTATATGTTTAAAAAAATAATTAAAAAAAAACAACAACAATTACAAAAACCACAAAAAATGAAAAGGGAAAGAAAGAGTTTTCCAGCGATATAGTCCTTCCATGAATATACAAAACCAACCTGCCAAGCAATACGATCAATATTGAGTGTCAGAAGAAGAGTTTTTGCCCCTAAACGAGCAGATGCAAGTGCAGCTTCACAACCTGCATGCCCTCCTCCTACGACTATAACATCGTATTTTTCGTCGGCGGCCCCAACGTGGTTTCTCAAGTCTATACAACATAAAAGGGCAAACAACTTCAATATGCAGCAGAAATGTTATTCCAGTTACCAAGAGCTCGACAACCCCCACTTGATTACTCAACAATATAGTTCCATATACTTCATAAGTGTTCCGTTTTTGGTCTGTTCAAAAATTTAACAATGACCCTCGTCCCAACAATGCCGAAAACGCACGAAAACGACTACATAGAGTGAACCAAACCTTGAGAACTTGAACTGGCAGCAACGAACGACCTMCTAGATATGCAATTGCGGCCGAATCTGACAGGGTAGCTGGGCGGTAGTTTCCGGCGAAATACGTGAAGAGCAACGGAAGGATTGAATGGAGAAAGGAAGGGAAGATGGCGGATGAGGCGAGGGAGGTGAAACGTAAGCATTCCTGAAGCTGCCATGAATTACAACGGATGTTAAGAGTTACCAGTGCGGGCATGTGAGCAGTAGCATCAGGTCGTGGGCGAAGGAGAACAAATTTGAACTGGGAGTGTGACGATGATGACTTTGTGGTTCATCTGCGCCCTTCCTTTTCTTAGCAAAATCCACTGGATTGGTAGAAACGCATAGTTGTGACTTTTATGGGTTTTATTTTCATTATTATTTATTTTAACTACCGTGGCATAAATTCGAACCAAGACTTTTAGTCTGATATATGTGAGCTACGTGGAAGCGATAACATTGTCAATTGATTGGAGGAARTTTTACCGTTTAGATGAGAAAGCTCRACGGGAGAATAACATAGGTGAGAAAGAAGTCCAACGATCTAGTAAATAGAGACAATGACGGTGGATGGTAATTGTCGAGACTCAAGTGAGAGTACGGATGGAAGCTGAAATTTGAAGAATGAAAACAATTTGGCACAAAAATGGAGGGAAGGAATTTGGGCTGCATAAGTTATTCTAAAAACGCCGAAACAAACCTAGTTTTTGAAGAATGAAAACAATTTGGCATAAAAATAGAGGGAAGGAATTTGGGCTGCATAAGTTATTCTAAAAATGCCAAAACAAACATAGTTGAGTGATGTTTGGTATAGGTCTCCAACTAAGAAATTGTAAATTCGAACCCTCTCCCCAACGTATTGTACTTAAAAAAATATTATAATAATAATAATAATAAGTTGATTATAGAAAGTAGAGGTGTCCCAAGTGTAGGTAAAACCAATCCGATAAATTGAAAGCGAAATCGATAGAACCAAGTCGATCAGTCAGTTTTCGTAATAGGGGTGGTCGGTCGATTAAAGACTTTCCTATCTAGTTGGTCGTCGCCCAAGAAAAAACCTTAAAAACTAATTGATCCAATAAGCAACTTAGAGTCACCACCTCTCTCCTCTCCTTTTAAATTGTTTGTATCTCTCTTTCCCCCTCCCCCTTCCCTTCGCATACCTTGCCTCAAATTCCTAACCGACAGCCACCTCATCCTCCTCCTCTCCCTTTTGCGTCGCATCGTCCTCGACTGCCACCCATTGCCGCTACAAC